GTTCAAAATTAAAAGGGTAGTCAATTGTAACTTATTTATATTATTAGAAATGACTTATTTCCTTTTCATCATAGCCTTTTTCATTAGTAATTGTTTAATTTCACGTAATTACTTGTGATTTTTACTACTTCACATCTGACATTTGGACAAATAGAAAAGGGTCTAATTTATCTTCCTAGTCTAACACATTGTACTAAAAAATATTCTTTCCACATACAGAATATTTTTTACCAAAAAAATGAGAGGATTGCACTTCCATTGAGGACCTTTGTATAGGCAATGTAAAAATTCTGTGTGTATTTTATAAAATGCTGTCACACCTAAATAACTTGAGAACTTCAGGTGAAAGCTCTTACACAGATGCAAATTACAGTTGATCATATTTGAATGTCATTTTACAAAACAGCAAGGGTGGAATTAAAAAACAAAGCTTAGTAGGCAATGAAAGTGACTTAGAAATTATGACCTGGATGAAGGCAAAGCGGTGATCTTGTGGTTCTTGAGGCCAATATACTTTCATAGTTGGTGGAGGTTGATTATGGTTCATAGCTGAGATTAATACTGTAGCTTTCATTGTGGAGGTTAATTTGCAGTAAGGGTCAGCATGAAACTTCCTCACTAGACTTTTTTTTTCCCACAGTTAAAAGAGAGGGCCATGTTTATTTTGTCTACTGAGCCTTTGTTCATCATCTTCATCTCTGCCTGCCAGCCGAATCCTCTCTTCTCTCTGACATGTTGTCTGACCTCTCTATCCATACTGAGTTCTACTTTCTCAACCCCTATGTGGCATTGCCGATGTACAGACTTAACCATGTTCTGCCCTCTATTGTCAGGCACTGTTTGAAATAGTGAGGTCTTGTTTCAATAAATGATATATTATGTGCTCCTGGAGGGACAGTGTTGTAACTCCTTGGTGCTCCATGCATTCTAGATGTATTTATTTACAGTCATGCAGTTTATGGCTAGACGAAGCCTTAGGGAGATGATTTGTTTCAATTGCATAATCTTGTGGACCAGGAAAATGAAGCTCTGTAGAGGTAAAGTAGTTTCTTCTAAGGGTTATGGCTTGTGTTAGGGGTAAAGCCAGGCCTAGAATTTAGGTGTACCAATTTCCAGTTTAGTATAATTTCCACTCTTCCTTCCTTATATAGTTCATTCAACGACTATTTATTGAGCATCAGGGGCAGGCACTCTGCTAGACCCTGATACTGCAATGCTGAGCCTGTCTTGGAACTTATACAGTGATCAGGGAGAAGGACACTAACAAACAGCACACAAATAGATGCACACTAGCTACCGAGATAAGTGCTGTTAAGGATTATGTGGTTCTGAGAGAGTAGGCAATGGATGGAAGATTTCCTTGAGAAACTTGTTTTTGACTTGTAAGACTTGACACTGTGTTTATATGTACTTTTTGAATGCACTTAAATTAGACAAATATTTGTTGTTGCTCACTCTGTGCTGGGCCCCAAAAGAAATTAGAGAAATTAGAGCCAGTAAGCTACAGCCCCTTCCCTCAATGTATAGTCTAGAAGACGATAAGCCAAGAGGTAACTATCATCATAAAGCAAAATGTAGAAGTTCCATGGTTCAAAAGACACAAAGCTCACATTTTGGGGGAGAGGAGGAACATGAGGAACATCTTCCTGTCAGAGTTGGCATAGGATACGGCCCCTGAACAAAAGCTAAAGAAAGGAATAGAGAAGGCCTTGCAGATGTAAGAAAAAGCAAACCGAGATGGAACAAGATAAGAAATTAGAGGAGTTTTCTAACAACAGAAAGTAATCTCATTTTACAGGAGCAGGCTTTTCGGTTACACAACTGTTGAGGATGTTGTCTATTGAAATGCCCTTACAGTCCACTGCAGTTAAAGGTGGAAATGCAAATGTTCCCTCGTTTCTCCTCCTGGAGCACATAATCCTGTGCTTTGGTTGGTTGCCGGCTATATGGACTGTTCCCCCCAACTCCACCCCTACCCCTCCGTGGCAACTACATCTAAGTCTTTAATTGCTATGTTACCTAGCATTTCACTGGGGTTCAATAAACATTTAATCGTCATAGTAAAAAGTGTCTGCTATGTGGAAACTGTTTTCTCTGGCATAAGTTACCTTCTCTAGAAACAGAAACAGAACTCCTTCCAGATGACATGGCTGGCCCAGTGTAGTGAGTATCAAACTTAGTTTTTAAATACTGCCTACACTAACCTGTATCATCACGTAGCTTTTATGCATTTCAGAGAGGTCTCAACCGTTTCTCCCTATGGATGGCATAATAGTTTGTCTAAATATTGTTGTAGGAAAGTGCTGCAGATTTACTTATTAGCATGTGTTAAGTGGCCAGCTGCTGTGTGCCAGCTTCTGTGTAGGACATAGTGTTATTGGTCAATCTTATTAGGGAAGTAAATGGAGGAGCAGATGAGTGGTACCTGATCCAACTCAGGCACAGATATACTTTATCGTTTCTAACATTGCCAAGAATAAAAATTAGGGATATTTCATGGAAAACTCTACATTTGGGGCTTCCCTTGGTAAATCGGAAAATCTGGCAACACGGGGCCTATATCCCAATGGCAGCAGTTAGTGGGAGGTAATCGGGTGTGTGTTTCTCAGTGTGCTGTAGTCCCTATCACTCCCTGTTGCCTACATCTAGCTTGTTTTATTCATTTCTGTGGCTTCCTGGCCCTTATAGTGCCCCTTGCTTTGGAGTGCCGTTGCCTTTCTGGGACCCTTCTCTTTAGTTTCCAGTAGCAATTTTCTGGCCAGCCAGACAATTAATTATGACCACAACAGCTAGTGTGCGTGTGATGCTTAATAGTTCGCCGTGGTTCTCGAACTTTTCCATGTATCAGAATCATCCAGAGGGCCTGTTAAAACAGGGATTTGCTAATCAGTTTCTTATTCAAAAAGTTTGAGGTAGGATGGAAGGATTTGTATTTTTATCACATTCGCAGGTGATGCTGCTGGTGTGTGTACTGCCTTCTGAGAACCACTCAACTACTGTATTGTAGCACAATAGTAAGTCACGTGAGCTTGTTGGGGCAGGATGTTCCCCACCAGAGATAACATTTGGCAAGATTAAGCAACTTATCCAATGTCATAAGAAGCAGCAGAGTCAGATTAAAACCATGTCTTTAGAGTATATCCAGCAGGAGACCATCCCGTACGTCCCTGTTCCTGCCCCACATCTGCCCTCCAAGATGCACAGAATCCTCTAGAGAACGCTGTAAAACAGACATAGCCTCGGGGATTCTAATTGAGGGTTATACCACGGGTGATCGTTGTCATATCTCAGGACACAGAGAGTTAGCACCTGTTTGTATTCAGTGAGCAAGGGCAGAAAGGCGAGGTCAAAGCTTGACATCAGGCATACCTGTGAAGGTATGAGACATGCCTGCTGGGCAAAGTGCAGGAGGCCCCACAGCCAGTGTTTCGTGCTTGAAGGAGGTCCACTTGAGCAGGCAGACGGCAGAGCAGGTGGGACAAGTACAGTCTTTGGTATCGACACGGAGCAACAGGTGCTACAGAGCCAGGCGGAGCACAGCACTGGGGATTCATTGGGGAGCCAGTGATACTGTTTTCCAGGGGGAGCCTCATGGGGAACTGTGACTGAGGTAGGCCCACCTGAGGTCTGAGACTTGGGAACAGGACTTCAGGATGGCAGGATTGCTGGTGGGATAAGACAGATTGCCTGGGCAGGGACTAGGTACAGAAAACAACGATAGGGATCCATTTTCCAAGGCTGGGGTGCAGGGCAGAGCTATAGGGCTTCTCACTTCCTAGATCTGACTGTCAGGGTCAGAGCAGAGCTAGCAAGAAAGGTGGTTTCTTCAGTCTTGGCATGTTGGGCTTCTTAAAACTTTCTCTAAGTCAAGATTAGTCTAATGACATGGGGCCCTTCCCTCTTACGGGATGAGAAGGAAGATAAAGATGGGGAACCAGACAGGCCTAACATGGATTAAATTTATTAAATTCTATCTGCTTAAAACTCTATGAAAAGAATAATTGGGTCATCATGTCATCAAGATAACCATTCACTGACCTAGTTCAGAAGTTTATCTGTACAAAATCAAGACTGTTATAACAAATTATCAGCCATCTGTCTCCAGTTTTCAAGATAATTAGTTATTTGTTGATTTACATATTCATGTGCACATGTAATTTACATGTAAACTACACCCATGAAAACCTATTTTGTTTGAGATTGTTAGACAATGATATATTCTGGTTAATTTGGGGGTTGACCATACAACATTTTGATTTCAATCTTGTTGAAAAATTTTTTTTAAATCTTTTTACCTCTTTCCTGCTAAATGTTGTATAATGAAAATAACAAAGTCCTTTTTCCTTGTTTAAAAAAACTGAATAGCCTCCTCAATCTGATAGTATAGATAAGGCAGCTATAAAATAAATATTGGCAATTCAGGGATGTGGGAGTGGAGAGGCACGCCTACCGCTGCTCAGGTTCAGCCGTTAATATTGACTGTTCTTCTGTGGCTTTACCCCTATCCCAGAAGCGAGCCATAGAAACTAACCCTGATTAGTTGAGGAGTCTGATTGAGCTTCTGCTACTCAGTGAATACCCAGCCCATGAGAACACTCAGGGCTGGGTATATTATGCGTTTGATTATAATAAACTATAAACACAGAGGGGATACGTGTCTCTTTTTTCCCTTTAATAACATTAATTGTTTTAGGATTGTGATCATCACCTGTAAACAGTCATTACGTGTAGTATGACATCCTCATTGTTCCGACGGGAACCAAACACTCTGCTTTCCTCTAGTCAACTTTAGGTAGCCTCATGGTTTAATCTAGAGGGAAAGATTTGGGACTGGGTTTTATCTAAGGGAAAAAAAAAAAAAGAAGCATTACATTATTATAAACCAGTTCAAAAACCAGTATATGAGGAAAGACCTCACTTGTGCACAATGTAATGTGCAAACCAAAGGCAATTTTCAGTGATGGAAAGGAGATTAAAACTTTTTTTTTTTTTTTAAACAGGCTCACGCACAATTAGTTCGAGAAGTTGATGTGGAGAAGGTGTCTGCTTTTGAGAATCCGTATGTAGATGCAATAAAGAGTTTATGGAACGATCCTGGAATCCAGGAATGCTATGACAGACGACGGGAATATCAGTTATCTGACTCTACCAAATAGTAAGTATTCCTCCAGGAGGCCCTTTGCATCTTTCTCTTTACTTTCATGTGCAGGTGCTCTGCAGTGAGACCTTCTGTGTTCTGTAATGTGTGTATTGTTATCTGATTCTAACTGCACAGTTAGGAAGTATAGGTATTAAACTTGTGCCAACCTCATAAATTTCAACTATATTGTAAGGGACTGACATGATGAGTCAGGGAGAGTATTTTACTGTTTTCTGTTTGAAAAGCAAACTGAAGACTCTAGGAATCTGCATTCACTAACCTGTCTCTTTCCCCAAATTGTAAAGCAGCAGTTCTCAAACACATACTTCATTGTGCTTTGAAATCTTGTAATGATAATTTTTAATGCAAATTTCGGATCTTACTCACATGCTGGAAAACACCTACGCACATTAAGAACCGCAAACAAATGCGCTTGATTATGGCTTCGCAAACATCAGACCTCCTGGTTTCTAGTTTCCAGGCACAGAACCTTTGACTGCTTCCTGGGAGCCACTGTTATGTTGATGGATAGATTTGCCTTTGCATGAAAATTGCGTGGGAGTCGAATTTTGCATGCATTCCCGAATTATTTTGCGAGCTGTCAATCAAAATCATGTGTCCTGGGAGAGATTTGCATCCTAGAGAGCTTTGTTAGTTCTCTAGATTAAATCTTGCCTAACAGAAAGAAAGTAAAGCTCTGGCAGTCATTGGATTAATGTAATCAATGTGGTCAGCAATGTAGATAATTGGGCGCCTGAAAAATGGATTTTTTTAGTAGTATTTAGCCAGATTTCTGTCTACATTAATTATGGTAACCCAGCATTTGCCTCTCGTATTGGTTCTGGGCAGACAGAAGAAAGGGTGGAAAATATTCAGCAGCCTCAGGGCAGTTCATGTGTTGAAATGACCCTCTGGATGAGAGCAGGACCATGGGGAAAATAAGGAGCCCCATAGGCTGATTGGCGTCACTCAGCAGTGCAGAGGACATCCAAGAGCTGTTTGGCTCTGTTTTTGAAGTAAAGTGGATCATGCTCTTACCCTAGTTCTAGGCATTTGTATAAGATAAGTTATGATTCAGGTTAGCCAAAGAAACGTTGCCTGGTCAAAACAATTCTTGTATTCCTAAGGTAAATCTGAATGACGTAATTCTGAAATGTGACGTGGAACACTCAGGAACACCGTGTCTGTCGTGTTTAAGCTAATACCCACCGCTCTGGGCCTCTGGAATGAGCGCTTCCTCATTCCCTACTTCTTTTGTCCTTCTTCCACGCCTTCACGGAGCCTTCCACACTGCCTGTCCTCAGTCTTCCTCTTCCGTGTCTGCCCACCTTCCTTCGCCCCCTTCCCTTCCTCCCTCCCTCTCTCCTCCCCCAGCCCCCCGCCCCGAATTCCTACTGTGTAAGTTCCTGTGAGTAGAGAGATGAAGAAGATGCGTTCAGCTCTGATGTGTTCCAAATTCTGCCCCCTCAACCTTTGACCTGCTGTCTTCCTTTTACTTCCTGCCCCCTCTGTCTTTGTTTCCTTTGCCATTCCAGACTCCATCCATCTCTCCCCCACATTGCTGCTGTGCTTTACCCCTCGTTCCTGTTGCTGCTCATTATCTCTTCCGCTGTCCACCCTCACCTCTGGTTCTCCTTTAACTCCTCTTCACTTCTCACTTTGCTATTGTGATGTCTCTCCTGGTCCATTATAAAGTTACATACACAAATAAATCCTCCACCTCTCATCATTTCTAACCCCCGTCTTTTTACTTCATCATAAATCCTGTCTCTCCCCCTCCTCCTTACCTCTTCTGTTCTTTACCTGCCACCTAGATCTGTTCTCCCTACAGAGAGGTCTTGCGACTAGGGTATCAGAGCACCAGTGTCCCATAAGGATGTTGCTTACCAGGGCTGGGGCCCCACCCCCGCTTAGGAAATGGTTTGCCTCCTGCTCCTGGGATAGGCCCTCGGAGAGATTCCTGTTTGCCCTGAGGACACCTGGGTCGGCTGCTGCTGTTGTGCTCTTGAGACAAAGCTCCACCATATGTCTGGTGACATTCCTTCAGTTTAGATTTGTGTATTCCCAGACAAGTACCCATGAGTTGCTTTAGGGCAAAGAGCTATCCGCAGCGGTTTCTCCAGGCCCCTATTAACACTGTGATGCTGGGAGAGCCACCATCTTAGAATTCTGTCGCACAGCCTGCGTCTACCGTAAAAACACGCCTGCTCTGTGGGCACATCCCTCATGTTAGAGCTGAAGATATGGGGGCACCTGGGACAGGCTGATCTCAACCCCTTCACGTAATTATTCTTTAAACAGTTCTACTCTCCCCTGATGGGTATAGGGAGAACTCGATTTTCTAAACTGTACATCATGTCGGTATATAAGTGCATGCACATGCACTTCTTTTCTTTTTTAACCATATCTTTATGCAGAAGGAATAAAGTAAATTATATGTCCTTATACCCACATCTCAGTGTGCATCTTTTTGAAAAAATAGGACATTTGGTTACATAATAAATAATACCATATTATACCTAAAAATAATCAGCCGTCCTTCTCATCATTCCGTACCCAGTTCATATTCATATTTCCCACATTCTTCCAAAATGTCCTTTAGAGTCCGTCGATTTTAGGGCTATCATTGCATTTGGTTTTTATGTCCCTTAAGTCTCTTTTAACCTAGTAGAGACCTGCTTTGTATTTCACTGGCATGTCGAAAAGATTGACTTGGATTGGGCCTGATTGCTGCCTCAGAGCATGATTTAACTTTCTCTTCCGTCTCTTGGATTTTCTACAAACAGGAAGTTGCATTTAAAAACTTGATTAGATTCCAGTTAACCATTGTGAGTAGAATACACTTTAAGTGATGTCATACACTGGTTTACCCATCAGTGGTAAGTTAAGGTTCACCACAGTGTCAGGGCACTGACAGCCTCCATTATAAAGTTATATTTTTTTCCTTCTGCCACCAAAAGCAATCTGTGTGGTGTTACTTGGTCATTGTGTAATCTCCAGTTCCCCATCAACTCTTCACATGATCGTTTTAATTCCAATCAATAAGTCTTACCTGGTTTAATAATTCCATTAGGATTTGTAAAGGAATGATTTTCTGCTTTTATCATTTGGTCTTTGTTGGCATTCTTCTATGAAGTAGAAGGTTTTCTCCTCCACTGGTGCTATTTGCTCATCCTGAAATACATTTTCTACCAAAAGGAATGTGTTTCATTCAGTCTTTTCGTTACAGTAATTTGTTACATGAGCTAAATAGATGGTGACTGTATAACTTACGCAAACCAGGACATTTTGAGAAGGAAGGGGTTACTGTTAATAATTGCAATGAAATAGCAGGCATGAACTGGGAATCTTCTGGTCAAACAGGGACATTTGGTCACCTTAGCTAAATGAAACCTAGGGAGGTTTTGGTTTTTTCCCCTTCGTTTTCTCTAGAAGACTCTTGTTTACTTTCAGGGAGTAGAACCAATCTATTCCTGCCAATTATGTAAGTTGTGTGTGGAAACCTGAGTTAGCTGACTCCATCCATGTTTCTGATCTCTAACCAGGATGTTTCAGCACTCTTTATATTACAGATCAGGGCCCAAGTAGCCTGGCTGGCCTGCCTTTAATCCCATTGTGCCGGGAGGCCAAGTATTAGAGTCACTTTATTCTTCCCCATCTTAGTCCCAGGCATTTTCCTTTTCCTTAGCCAGGAAAACCTTCCCAGCACAAAGATAAGACCAGTGGCTTTTTGGATTCACCCATTTGCTGCTATGTTCCACATGTTCCCCCAGTGTGGTCCAGGGAACGCCCCGTGAACTGCAGGGATAGTACTGATGAGGATGTAGGTCCCCTGTCTTGAGCATCACTGATTCCCAGTACTGAATTCATTTTCAAAGAGTAACTCAGAATAATTCCTTTTTCTGCATTCGAGATGGTTGTTACCCCTTTTCCTTTCTGACCTTTGTGTACATTCCACTGGTGTGTCTTTTAGTATTTTATCCTGCCTCTGTTACTTGATGAGGAAGCATGTTGTTCTTTCTGTCTTTATAATTAAAATTTTAAAAACTTTGTTGATATTCTGCACCTAATTTCTTATACGGTGACATCACCTTACAGAAATCTTTCTGAATTTAAGACCAGCCTCCCTGAGTACTGACTGTCTTCCTTGTGGTTCTTCAGTTTAGATTTAGGGAACATGTAGATACCTAATCTCTAGCCGTGTGAGAATCCGTGCCTGCCATGCCCATCTGCTTACAGTTTTCAGCTTAACAACAGTTCTCTCCAGGACCCTGCTGGTTGTGAGAGTCAGTGTAGGCCACTTGCCAGGAATACTGAGAACAGAGGCCAAGCATGCCTCTCGTCTTTTCTATCTGATGAGCTCCTATTTATCCTTCAAGACCCAATGCAGGAGTCACACCCTCTGAAAGTCTTGCCCAACACCAGAGAGAGTGAGTCACTGTGTCATGTACCTTAACACTTGTACAAATCTCCTTTGTATCTGGTATCGTGTTTACCGAAGTGTCTCTCTCCTCTGCCCACAGTGCCTAACATTGACTGCTCACGTTTGACCTTCACAAATGATTGTTCTATGAAATCATAGATGGGTAATTTCCACTGTTTCAGTGACCGTGATGTAGGCACTATCTGTCTTTGGCCATTATAGACGAACTATGACGTTCCAGAGCTAAAGGCATTTAAGTCTTTTTTCCTGCTGTTTTTGAAGATCTGGCATGTGGAAAGTTCTGTTATCAAAACAGCTGCCATTTGCTGAATACTTCCTGTATGGTAGATTCTGTGCTTAGTCGTTTATATGCAAAACTGTAGATATTTCTTATTATCCCTATGAAACAGGGTCTCAGAGAGGTTGAGTGACTTGTTCACGGTCACACAATTAGTAGGTGATAGGAGTAGGAACTGAAATCAGATTTGCTGCCTCCAGAGCCCAAGTTTTTAACCACTGTGAAATCCAGCCTCACAGAGGATGGATGGATAGGTGGATGGTTGGACGAGTGAGAGAGAGAGAGAGGGAGAGA